AACGACCCTCAGTACCACGTGAAAATGTGGCACGAGTGTGTTTCCCAAGTTGACACGACTCACAATCTAATTTGGACAAACTAGATAAACTAGGCACCATCTGTTGCAGTTTAGATAGACTCGGATGTCCCAAACGTTTGTGAATGAGGTCCGGAGGATCTGTAACAGAGCATGCTGTGAAGGAATTTGAAGAGGTAAGATAGTAAAGGCCTTGTGATTCATGTCCGGTGCCAATCGTCTGTCCCGTACTGCGGTCCTGCATGAGAAAAAAATCATCAAAAAAGGTTATGCCACAATGTAGGGCACGTGTCAAACGACTAACAGATGCTAGATTAAAGGGGGAACCAGGGACATAAAGAACAGAGTCTAGAGTGACAGAAGATAAGGGTGTGGCTTTTCCAACCCCTTTTGGTTTTGTTTGTATCCCATTGGCCAAAGTAATAGCAGGAAGAGATTGTGAATAAACAATATCTGACATAAGTGATTTGTTACCAGAAACATGATCAGAAGCGCCCGAGTCCATGACCCATGATCCATGAGTATTAGACTGTGAAACACAAGCAAAAGAATTACCCGCAACAACATCATGTTGAACAACCGAAGCTACTTGTGGAGACTTTTGCTTACTTGCTCGATATTGAAGGAACTCATCATATTCTGATTGAGCAATATGAGCATTATGGGATGGTCGATCAGGCGGAGCAACAAATGCTTCTTGTGAAGATGTATGCTTACTTGCACGATTACGAAGGAACTCATTATATTCCTTTAGAGTAGCAGGATCATAACTGGGTGGTGGACCATGCAAATTATGACATATGTCACGAGTGTGTCCAGACTTATGACAATAACTACACTTGGATCGAGGTTTTCCAAGACGACCTCCTCCTCGTCGATTCTCCATAGATTGATATACTCGTTTTTCTATAGTTTGAGATGCGAGAGCTGAGGAATCAAAGGTCGGTGATGAAACTACTTTGTGGCTGGGAGGCGCAGCAATACGAAGTAGACGAGAGAATAATTCATCAACTGTAGGAATTGTAGGACTAGCTAAAATCTGATCACGCACTGAATCATGGTCAGTAGAGAGTCCAGCAAGTGTAAGAACTAGAAACAACGTCTGTCTGTGTTCTTGTTGTTTGTCCACATTTTTAGTGATTGGCATCAACGTGTCAAATTCCTCCATGACTGATTGTACCTGACCCAAGTAAGTAGACATATCGGATTCTTGTTTCTTTAAGCTAGTCATTCTAGATATCACATCATAGAATCGAGATATATCATTAGTATATAAAGCACGAGCCTTTTCCCAAACTGAATAACATGTTTGGGATGAGCGAAACAAGGGCATCAACTTGGAATCGATAGATCGCCATAGGAGACTACATAATTGAGCATCAACCTTCTCCCATTGTGCTTTGACGTTATTATCCGTCTCACTAGCCTTTGCCTTTTCATCTACCACACAAGTATTGTTGGTTAAGTGATCATGAACGCCTTGCCCCTTGCACCATAACTCAACCGAGGAAGCCCAGGCTAAATAGTTTGAGCTTCCCATTAATGGTTCTGAAGTGATCATAGCACTTGAACTACCTATATTCTTGGAGCCAAAAATATCAATCCCTAAAGACATATTATGAATTTAGAGAGAGGAAAAAAAAAATAAAAAAAATAAGGCTGGTCCTTGGTCAGAATCTGGAAAAAAAAAAAAGGGTGCAGTCGCCGGGAATTAGGTCTGACTGCCCGAAACTGGTCGGAATAAGAAAATAAATATACAGTCTGCCTCGGAATGGAGAGGCGACCGCAATGGGGAAAAAAATTGGTCGAAAAACTGGCCGGAACAGGTCTCACGCGCCGGCGCGTGGATCTGTCAACTCGCCGGAGAAATTCTTCCGACGGCGCGTGACGGCGCGTGTAGCACTGGTTTCCGGCGGGGATGATTAGGGTTTGCTCGCCGGGAAGTTCCTCAACTAGTGGTGGTGTTAGTTTTTTGAAAAACAGTGACGGAAAATATTAAATACCTGGACAGCCACTAGGTTACCGGAAAAAAAACTGTGCGATTTTTTTTTTTTTTTTTCCTCTCACAATTGCTCTGATACCATGTGAGAAATATAGGAAAAGAATATTATTGAATTGTTGTTATAATAATTACATAGAGAACCCTATTTATAGACACTATATAATACAATTCCTTACCAAATAGGAGACTATAAACTATTCCTAGTTTGTGTAGGATTGTGTTTTCCTATTCTATTCTAACAGTAACAAATATCAACCCATTTGCCGGCATTCCTATGACTCCATTATTCGACCTTAGTTTCTTGTAAACAATAAAAAATAGCCCCTCATTTTTTTTTAACAGCAACTTGAAAAGGCTTCTCTTGTTCTGACAGTTTTATCCGCTGACATTCCAAGAAACTAACTTTAGCTTCATTTGTGTGAAATAGCAGGAACCTTCCTTGTTTTACCTCTACTAACACTATCATCCAAATTCGTGTGTAATATCGGATTTTTCACCTTCCTTAACCCTTTCAGCTTACTAGCAGAAGATGAAGATACATGAAATTGTTGGGGACCCAGATGAAAGACTTGTATGCACTGGAAGGTGCTGGATAATCCAATGAAAAGATTCCATCATCTGCCCTCCATGGAAAGGCTAAAATTTCTTCTTTTGAAATGATTTTATACATCTTCAACTTTATCTTTGTCCCTATACTGCTTGAAACCATAAAGTTCTCACAGAAAATAGTGTTGATCTCAATTTTTGCTTTGGTAGTTGATGCTGGATTCTTTTCATTATTTTTTAACTTGCAGAATTTCTTCTTTTGATTTTGTGCTTCAAAAACACATTCCATGACATTGTCTTGTGTAGAAGTTTTTTTGAAAGTGCTTTAATCTAAACTTTTGTAGGATTTGCAAAGATTTTTCATCCTTCACAACATCACATATCACATAGGTTTCAAAATTTGGTTTTATTCTCACAAACCAAATTTGATAGTTTTCGCCTGTGAAAATTTTTGGCGCATTCAAAGAGAGACTGCTACTTGCCATTATTTTTTGGTTAAAAATTGTATTAGAAAAGCCTGTGCGTTGAATAAAGCACGGGTTGAAAATAGTAGCCCTGACGGGTTAAAATGGGTAGCCCTGACGGGATAAAAGGTAGCCCTTAGGGGTTAAAAGAGTAGCCCTTACGGGTTAAAAATGGTATGGTAGTTCTTTGAAAGAATTCACAAGAGATCAATGAAGCTCTTGATACCACTGTAGGTTTTTTTTTAAAAATGGGGCAGTACAAAAGGATTGAAAATGTCTCTCAATGGATTGAAATGGCTTTCAGTACCTTTCAATTGATTTCAATAATTTTATGAAGCATTGAGGAGCTTTAAATAGCGAACATAAAACACATAATCAAATTTAAAACAACCTAAAATATCTCAACAATCCAAACAACCTAACTAAAATTCTAAATGCAAATTCATATTAAACTAAACAACTTATTTTACTAAAAGTTACTGCAATAACTAAAAGTAAACTTCAACAATCTGCAAATAGCAAAATATACACCTACTGCATTACCCGGCTAGTTGTGAATTCCTTAAAATAACACACTGTTTTTACTCAATTCATTATCTTGCTGAGTGCCTCCATGACCAGTTTGAATGGGATAAAGGATCCCTTTTACCACGATACCTTGAACTTCCCAGGAAACCTATGGCACTTCCATTGACCAAGACATAGGATTTGTCCACAGACATGCAAATGAATCTGTGTCTCACCCTCTCTCAGAACTATATTTGTTCATCACAAAATCAAAAAGAAAATCTCAGTTGGTCTGGCATATACCTTTTCCAATTTAATTTTCACTATAATCCTGTCTCCTCATTTTTCTTCCTGGAGACCACAAACTCATTTGCAACCACAGTTGCATCTAATATCTGTACTCCTTGGGTAGATACAGTTTGGGACACCAACAACATACCATCTAGGACTTCTTAAGTCAAAACCACTTGCCCAAAATTCTTGTCAATGCTTCTTAGTAGACTTATATCTTATATGGTTGTTTCATAGGCGAATGCATTTTGGGATGTCAACAACATGCCATCTAGGACTTTCTTAAGTCTAAAAGAAATCAGTCTCCGAAATTTTTGTAGATGCTTCTTAGTAGACTTATATGTCAAAGATCCTTAATATCTAATTTACCATCTCTTTCTGGAATCAAGGTTATAAATGATTCATTGAGGCTCTTGTCGAACTTTTCTATAGAATGGAAGTGACGTACTACACAATGCCTCCAAAAGTAGTGAAATATTCCAGAAACCTTCACTCAGGTTGATAATGATGATGCCAGATTTCTGGTCGGAAACCTCCAAAAAATTATTCCTTAGGATTGATAATGATGCAGCTAAGGGGATTCTTTCACTCATCTCACACAGCATTAACTAAATGCTTTATCAAGAAAAAGTTGTATTTTTTAAGCAACCAATAGTAATTACAAATCCTGACAGGAGACATTTGTACTTCTAATATAAATTGTAAATATCAGCTCATCAACATAGCATGTCACTAACCTTTTTCCTTTTGATAAGGATGTTACTAACCCAACCATATTTTGGTAATGCTCTTTGGATTAGTAAAAAGTTATGTTGCTTAGACTCTTCAAAAATGTCAACGGGTGCATGTCGGATGATTCTCCAAAAGTAGCGTATTTTTGGAGAATCCGACACAGGTGTGTTATTGAAAGTGAAGAGTTCATGCAACTTAGGTAAAAAGTATTCTGATTTCTTTTCTTTTCCTACCAGTTATGTCTAAAAGGTTCCCCATACAAGGAGTGAAAGGGAAAAAGTAATATCTTGAATTTTATGTTGAATTGCTAGGTGTATGTACATGTATCAATCAAGTGAATTTTGTTAGCAGAAGTACTCCAATTCCTTTTCTTTTTCTACCAATTACCACAGAAAAAAAAGCATAAACTAAATTTAACCAAGATAACATGTGAAACTTACTTGCTCAAACTTAAAAGTTGGTGAGAGATAATAGTTAGAGTCATCAGATTCACCAACTGGGATATCAACTGGGCCTCTTGAGTAAGATCCATCCTGCAAATAGATAGGACCTTTTACTAAAACTCTGTAGTAATGAACTAGTATGGAGTTGACCAAAAGCACTAGGAACCATAATCACCATTAATGGCATCACAAAATTAACACAATAGAGAACCAATGTCATAAACACCAAGTTAGCTTTACCTCAAAGAAAACAAGGCCAGGTTCCATTCCCATAATGTCTTCCTCCATAATATCAGTCTTTCCAAAGTCAAAAGATTCAAACTTTGGCAAATTTCTGGATTTTCTGTCAGGGGCGTCATGTATATCGAAGGACGATGCTGCATCTGTGCTTCTGTTGTTACCCCCATTCGACTCTGAAACTTCTCCATGTGGATTCACTGTTACCCAATTTACTTTCCTTCGAATTAGAGATCTTTGACTGGCAGAAGGAGATGGCTCTATATCAATACGAGAGAGAGTATAGCAGTCAAAGAGGTGTTCATTCTTGTTGCCAATCTCAATAGGTTCCATCTCTGCCGTGATGGGAGAAAAAACAGCTCCAACTCCCTTCCATATCCCACTGACACTACTAATAAATGTATTCCATGAAGGTATGATAACAGGTTCCTGAAACGAAAGCATACATCTATGAATTTGGGAAGAGAGGAAAAACCAAAGAAAACCTAAAAGTTGAACAGACATAATTTTGATTATACTCTCATGAATAATGCATCAACATAAAAGTCAGTTTGGGCTAACTGGAAGTAGCTGTGAAGTATCTACGCCAGGCAAAATGATAACTCCTCTATAATATGTTTGAAATCACCATGTTCACTTTGTCATCTCAAGCTATGCTCTACCTGTCTAAAATTCATCACACTTCCTAAATTTCTGACATTCCTAGAACCTACCCGTCATTGACTTGAAAGGCATTAATAGCAGGTGTCTTGAAAATAAACACTGTAGCTGTACTTCAATATAAGAATTTATGAACTAACTTTGTACTTTCAACACAATTCTGAAAAGCTAACAACAGTATGATTTCAAAGAAAACTTCATCACATTAATGTTCACAATCAGCTGATTGGACCCCACTACAAGTAGATCTTAAAGGTATAATCAACTTCCTCAAAGACCTTGCTCCTCTAATAGTCGAAACCACAAATCACCCTGGTAAGCTAGCAAACTACTTTCAATAGCGGAACGTTCCATGACTTGCCATGTGTTTTTCTGTTATATCTAATTGGATATAAGACAGACAACTTGCACATATGTCAGCTCGCACATGCAGTCATTCCAGCTGCTGACAGAAACGCCAAGTCATCCCCAATTTCACAGCTCACATGAACGGCTTATCATGTGGCAAATGGGCCAATTTCCATACGACATGCTCCAACATGTACAGACACCTTTGGTTGCTAAATGCTGGAAGCATGCTCATACTTGAGTCAAAATAAAGTTATAAACATAAGAGTTTGTCCCAAATTCCGTAAACAAATGAAGTAGACTGCATGACAGGAGAAGACCACAGCACAAAATTACATTGGGATAACAAAATAAAAGTAAGTGGAGGCCATATAAGGTTTACTAGGGATATATATATTTGCGAGTTGCATTCATGAATTCACTCCCATTAGAAATCAATCAGCTACACCTCAAAACCCCAAATTGAAAGAATTCAGCTCTATACAAGTCAATTCATCACTTGCATTACAAATTATACACAAAATTTACCTGAGTCTGTAAAACGGTTTCGACTTCCATTAACATAGCACTAGAGATCATAATTCTATCACCTTTGCTTTTCCTAGTAACATTTCTCATCCTCTTTCCACCTCTTTTTCTCCTCCCTCTCCTCGGCTTATCTCTTTCCTTGTCCGTCTTTGCCATTTCGTTGTCAATGCTCCACACATTTTCCTTCCCCTTCCCATTCACTTTCACCCTCTCCCTACTGTCGAACTTTCTACTTCCAGTGTCCCTGCAGGAAACGCAATAATTGGGTTTATGTATTGAAGGTGAAGTGTAATGGTAACTGCTACCTCTCAGGAATTGGAAATGTTGTTGGAGCTTAAAGGATTTGCAAGCGTCTAGAGATGGAGATTGCATGCTTGTGTTCATCTTGGTTATGAAGATTGTTAGGGTTCAGCTATTATTTCTTAACAAATTTACACAAGGAAACTGATGATGGGAGAGTACCACTACAGTAACCATTTGGGGATTTAAATTTTGGGAGGATGACCTGACACAGTGACACGTAGCACTCCATTAATTAATTGACGCAAAATCCTCTCTATCCCTAAAACTTGAAAAAAATTATTATGGATGAGGGGGAGTATTTTATTGATTTAGATTCTGACTGACCCACATTATATTGCCTTTTCTTTTTTGTTTATTTCTCTTTCCTACTCTTCTCTTTCCTCTCTTTTCTCATTTTATGTTTTTTCTAAGGGCCCGTTTGGCCATGCAATATGGTATTATGATATGGAATTATGATATGGTATCATGATATGAAATTATGAGATAAAATTGAAGTTTTGTTTGAACATGCGATATGAAATTTTTGTGTTGTATATTTTTTCATAAACATAAAAATCTCATAAGTTATAAAACTATTAAAATAGCCTCAATTGTTTATTCAATCTTATCAAATAAACAAAAATTTATAAAATCGCATAATAAATTATTACAAAGTTATTTGTTCTCCACTTAAGTAATTGTTTCATCTAACTTTAATTTAATAAAAAAAAATTGAACATAAATTGTAATGTATTAGTCTTTAATATAATTCTTCCACATAGTACGGACAATTTCCTCACGTTGAAGTTAAATTATTACAAAGCTATCTGTGAGTTAAAGTGACTATATGTTGGTGAGAATAATAAATTGTAAAAAGTAATGATGTGATTATAAATTTTATTTACATATGAAATAAATAGTTAGTAGATATAAATGTGGGGTTGTTTTAACAAAATATAAACTCGTGGATCAATTTTTGTATTAAAATATCTCAAATCGTGATATGGAATTCTCATATAATTCCATATCTTGGTTTTTGGAGAATATGGAATCACATCTCATGAGATGGAATCAACGTAAAATTGCATGTCCAAACGTCGATTCCATCTCACGATACCATATCGTGATATGGTATCGCATGGCCAAACGTTTGCCCATGCGATATGGTATCATGATATGGAATCATGAGATGGAATCATGAGATGAAATTGAAGGTTTGTTTGGACATGCGATATGAAATTTTTGTGTTGTATATTTTCTCATAAACATAAAAATCTTATAAGTTGTAAAACTATTAAAATAGCCCCAATTGTTTATTCAATCTTATTAAATAAACAAAAATTATAAAATCGCATAATAAATTATTAAAAAGTTATTTGTTCTTCAGTTAAATAATTGTTTCATCTAACTTTAATTTAATTTAAAAAATTGAACATAAATTGTACTTGATATGCTCATATCTCTCAACTACTCTTACAAATAACCTATAAAGTAGAAAAAAAACATACATTAGTGAGTAAATATTAACTTAGAAGTTAAATGCACTAAGATAAAAATTAACAAACATCACTAACTTCTAACTATTTACAAGAAAAATCAATAGTTAAATATTATTGAATAACGAAATTTTAAAAAGTTACCACAAGTTTGAGTCAAAAACACTTCTAATAAAATTTAATCAAAAAAATTATAACTAGTCCACTTGACTAAATATTAATAACTAATTGATCAAATTTTCCCAAGTCCTCAATCAATTGGACTTGATATCCTTCAGTCATGTGAACGAACAATTTGCAAATACTAAGATTAAGAAAGTGCGGCACCGCCAATGAAAATTGTCTTTTATCAATAGTATGCTTAGTCATAAGATTAAGACGTTTTTTTTATTATGAAAAATCAAAAAGGTATTACTCCCTTCGTTCTCATTTATATTCACCAAATGAATTTCTATTTTATCATTTATATTCACCAAATTTAAAGTGATAATAAATTTTATATTGGTGAGAATAATAAATTTTAAAAGTAATGATGTGATTATAAATTTTATTTACATATGAAACAAATGGTTAGTAGATATAAATGTGGGGTTGTTTTAACAAAACATAAACTCATGGATCACTTATTGTATTAAAATATCTCAAATCATGATATTCCATATCATGGTTTTTGGAGAATATGGTATCACCTCTCATGATATGGAATCATGAGATGGAATCAGCGTAAAATCGTATGTCCAAACGCTGATTCCATCTCACGACACCATATCGTGATATGGTATCGCATGGCCAAACGCCTACTAAATCTTTTTTAAACCAACATAATTACTCCCTTAGTTTGTATATGTGAAAATAATTTATTTTTTAAAATTTATTATTTTTATCTAAATAATTAAAGGTTAAGAGTATAAAAAAGTTAAAGTTAATTCTTTGAATTGTTACTTATGTCATGAAAATTGACCACTAAAATTACTATTTTTTCTCTCATTTTTCATTTATCATAGTTTAAAAAAATTATCTTCATATTTTTTTAACTTCTACTTTTAGGACTCATTCAAACATAAGAATTATTTCTTAAAAAAATGATAATTTTTCACTTAATTTAAAAATTGATGTTTGATAATGAAAATTTGTATGCAACTTTTTCAACTCGAACATATTTTTCAAATCTAGAAAACATGTTAGTATAATATGATTTTTCAATTCACTTTTCATTTTTAAAATTGTATTTAAGTACATTCAAACATGAATATCATTTCGAATATTTTGTTTTGCAAAAATAAAACTTGACTCTATGTTCAACTATAATTCCGTTTATTTCAAATATAGTAAAAAAATATATGTTTGAATTCTAGAGCCAAATGCCAAATCTTTCTATATATAAAAGGAGAAGAAAAAATGACACATGTCAACACCATAAATTTTTAGTATTTTAAATAATTAATAATCAATAATAATTAAATAAATAAATATAGACATATGTCAATAATTAGAATTAGAACGACACATGTCAGCACCACAAAAAATAGGATTTTTAAATAATTAAAATTATTAATTACATGTAATAGGATTAAATAATAAAATCCAACTTTTTGTAATTATCTTAAATTCGAAATTAAAATATTAAATTTATTTATTAAAAGATTACTTAAAATTAACGTGATATAATCATTTTATAATTTTCAAAATTTATATAAGATAATAACTAAAAAATTTAACTATCTAAATCTGAAAAACAAAAAATAAACATTGCAGAACATGAGTGTGATTATTAATTTTAAATTTTTTTAAAAAAAAAATTGCTCCACGTTAGTCAGTGGATAATTTTAAGGAACAATTCAATTAGTGGATAATTTAAAGGAATAATTTCAAATTTTAAATTATTATAAAATAAAAATTACAAACTTAACTAATAATAATAATAATAATAATATTAATATTTTTTCAGAAATGTTCCAAATGACAGTCACACATAAAAAAAATTCCCAGTATCAATTTTCAAAATAAAATTCCCCCAGAAAAATTTGAAAATATTAAAAATATACAAAACCTATATTTTTTTTATTTTTTTTAATTTGAATTGATCCTAATCCTTATCTAATTGATGATTTTTGAATTTCAAATTGATGACAACTTCTTATCAACGATTTATTAACTTCTCATAATGAATGACTTCTTACTGCATTACAATTATCCTATAAATAAACTTACCCCGATTCTTCTAAACCAACCCCACCCACTTCTTCTCCTTTTGTTCTATTTTTTTTCCCCATTAATCAACAGGGAAAGAAATACTTTGGGATGCATACACTTACTTTGTTTTCGTTGTCTTCTTGAATTTATTTTTCATATTGAAAATATCTATGATAGTTCAAATTATGAGTTTTTTGATATAATATAGTATCATGATTATCTATATATGATTAGTTTTCTCTTATATATATATATATATATCAAAGTACGACACATCCAAGGAGGGATCAATCCTCCATTAGTGAAGGAGATTTTCTATATATGTCAATATCCAATCAAAGAGTACAATTCTATATATGTCAATATCCAATCCAAGAATACAATAGTGGTACAATTATTGGTTTGATGAAACTAACGGTAATTTATGCTTCTTTGAAAGAATTCTTTTCACGAAAAACTTACTTTTTATATTACAAATATTTTGAAATTCTAAAATGTTATGTTTCAGATGGGGTGTTATTAGCAATGAAGAAGATAAAACAAGGATGTTGATGTCGGGGCCATAAATTCTATGTCAGGAAAGGAAAAAATTAAATATATACTAGGAGAAATATTTATATAAAATAATTTAGTAAGGAAATACTTAAATTAAAATTAGAAAAGAACAAAAAAATATTAGTAACTAAGTAATAAACAAAATTAATTTAAAATCTGGAATTAAAAATTTAAAACAATTTAAATCTTAAAATCTATTTAAAGGAGAAGAATACTTATGCACGATGGAGTTTTTTAAAACATAATTCATATTCAATTAACAAAGTTAATTTATAATCTGTAATTTAAAATATTTTAAATCTGAAAATCTTTTTAAATTTGAAAATATTTTCATTTTAAATAACAGAAAAAGAAGAAGATAACTTTACCCTTTAAAAAAAAAAAAATCTTCCCACGTTTTAAAAAATAAGACGAATCTCTTCTTCTTATCCTCTTATATATTTTTGTATCTATTGTTTTTAATTTTTATCGATTTTTAATTATTATATTATACCATCAGATTTTTGCTCGATGTTGAGATAAAGAAAAAATAGGAGTAAGTGGCACATGAAAGTGAAAAACATCCTTTAAGTTTATGTATCATGGTGAAAAATTTAGAGAATTAGAAAAATAAATGTAAGTTTTGATTCATTTGATATTTGGTATATTAGAAAGATAAAGTATAATGAATATTTTATTTAAGTTGAATATCTGAATAAAATAAGTATAATGTCTCTGATTATGATCCGTTAGTATAAGTTGAAGTTGTTACAAAAAATAATAGTATTGCATCGATTTGGCCAAGAATGACGTTCATATTATTATTATTATTATTTTCAGTTTTCTGAGTGAAAGTTGGAAGGCTTAAATAAAAAGATTTTTCAATTAAATTTGTGTTTGTTTAAGAGTATTATACCAATTATCATT